ATATATATATATATATATATATGTCAATTTATTTCCCCATTAAATGGGCATAAAGATTTAGGGGTGTTTGATAAGTTTCACACTTTAGGATTAGATTGATTTGGTAATAGTTGTACAAATCAATACAATTGAATTTTGGAGATAGGTTTGAATAGGAGATATATTTTTATCATATTTAATATTTGGAAAACAATTGAATAGGTGTAAAATAAAGGAAAAATTACATTGAGACTCCTGAAATTTGTCAGACCTCCTAACATTTGAAATATTAGAGACAGACTCTCTAAAGTTTGTATGCACGTAATACTTAAACCCCTACCGTCAAATGTCAGTCAGTATATCCATTAGTAAATTACACACAAACCTCCTAAAATTTGTAAGTGTATAATTCTTAGACTTCTCAAGTTTAAAATATTATATTTAGACAAAAAATACTCTAATAATAGATAGACTATCTAATATTTTAAATTTTACAACTAAAATTCATGTTCTATTATATTATTTATTGAAATAAAATTAAAAATAAAAAGCCAAGTTTTTCTTAAAAGATCGTAATTAATATACAATTATACTATTTATTGGAATAAAACTAAAAAAATCAAACAAGGGGTCTAAGTCATTCATAATAGAATATAAATTTTACAACCAAAATTCATGTTCTATTATGTCATTTATTGAAAAAAACCAAAAATAAAAATCAATTTTTTTCATTAAAAAATCATAAGAGTATACAATTATACTATCTATTGGAATATACTAAAAAAAATCAAACAAGGGGTCAAAATGTAATGAACACAATATATTCTATCTTTAACTGAGATAGTTTGGTAGTTTAATTTAGTCGTTTAAATGATCAAATTAAATTACAGTACATAGGATAATTGTATATTAATTATAATCTTTTAAGAAAAAATTAGATTTTTATTTTTAATTTTATTTCAATAAATGTCATAATAGAACATGAATTTTGGTTATAAAATTTAAAATATTTGATATTCTATCTTTTATTGGAGTATTTTTTATCTAAGTATAACATTTTAAATTTGAGGGGTGTAAGTATTACATGCCTACAAACTTCAAGGAGTTTGAATATAATTTACTAATAGATATACTAATAAACATTAACGACAAATGTCTAAGTGTTACATGTATCAAAATCTCAGGGGTTTGTGTATAATATTTCAAATATCAGGGAGTTTGAGTGATTAAGTGACAAATTTCAGAGAATTTGAATGTAATTCCCCCTAAAATAAATATGTGGATCCAATGATAACAACATCAAATTAGATGTATTTTTGACAATATTGTCGTTCGTGCAATAAATTAGCTGCATTTGATGCAAGAACACATCAATAATTTTAAAGATTTTTTAGAAATCGGTCCACAATTGTCGACTTTTGAGAGAAGAATGACATGCACTTTCTTTTAAAACTTAAAGGACAACTAAAAATATAAAAACTAATTATCCTTAATGAAATAAAAAGCTATATTACAAAATGGATAGTAATTGTAAGACGATAATAGAAACAGTGACACAATAACAATAACAACGATTGAGTAACAATAACAACGATACATCAACAGTAACAATCATTATCACAATAACACGATCACATTAACATCAATGCTCGTGTGAGTGGGGCGTAAGGGACGATTGTTGGGAATTGAGGTACTATAAAAGGTGGTAAGGCTAGAGTATAAAGTGGTGGTGGATTAGACAGTAACAACAACACGATGACAGTAACAATTATAATTACTGTCAAAATTCTATGAAACTAAACAGTAACGTAGAGTAGACAGTCAAACGATCACAGTAACAACCATAGTCACTATTAAAATTCTACAAAATCAAAAAGTAACGTGAATTAAACTGTTATACGATCACAGTAACAACCATTGTGACTCTGACAGTAATAGTAACAATGACAAATATAGTGAATTTTGTTGTCATTGTTTAAATTTTATTGTCCAACAAATTTAAATCAAATAAAAATAACATCAAGATTTACAATTCAACGTAAATATTGGGTTTTTTGGAGGCTGGTTCACAGTTATGGACTTTTGAAACAAAAAAGACAAGTGTGTTCTTTGTGGGACTTAAAGGACAATTAAAGACATAAAAACTAATTTATTCTTAATGACATAAATAGCTATATTATAAAATGGATTGTAATAACAAGACAGTAATAGTAACACCGACAAAATAATACGATCATAGTAATAACAATACCCATGTAGGTGGGGTATAAGGGCGATGACTAGTAATGAAGTTGCCATGGAAGATAGCAGGGCTGGAGCATAGAGTGGTGGTGGACTAGATATCAACACAAACGCAGTAACAACAAACAAGATAACAATAACAGTCATTATCACTATCAAAATTCTACAAAACTAGACCATAATTTGAACTAGACAGTCACACGATCACAGTAACGTGAATTAGATAANTGATTAAGTGACAAATTTCAGAGAATTTGAATGTAATTCCCCCTAAAATAAATATGTGGATCCAATGATAACAACATCAAATTAGATGTATTTTTGACAATATTGTCGTTCGTGCAATAAATTAGCTGCATTTGATGCAAGAACACATCAATAATTTTAAAGATTTTTTAGAAATCGGTCCACAATTGTCGACTTTTGAGAGAAGAATGACATGCACTTTCTTTTAAAACTTAAAGGACAACTAAAAATATAAAAACTAATTATCCTTAATGAAATAAAAAGCTATATTACAAAATGGATAGTAATTGTAAGACGATAATAGAAACAGTGACACAATAACAATAACAACGATTGAGTAACAATAACAACGATACATCAACAGTAACAATCATTATCACAATAACACGATCACATTAACATCAATGCTCGTGTGAGTGGGGCGTAAGGGACGATTGTTGGGAATTGAGGTACTATAAAAGGTGGTAAGGCTAGAGTATAAAGTGGTGGTGGATTAGACAGTAACAACAACACGATGACAGTAACAATTATAATTACTGTCAAAATTCTATGAAACTAAACAGTAACGTAGAGTAGACAGTCAAACGATCACAGTAACAACCATAGTCACTATTAAAATTCTACAAAATCAAAAAGTAACGTGAATTAAACTGTTATACGATCACAGTAACAACCATTGTGACTCTGACAGTAATAGTAACAATGACAAATATAGTGAATTTTGTTGTCATTGTTTAAATTTTATTGTCCAACAAATTTAAATCAAATAAAAATAACATCAAGATTTACAATTCAACGTAAATATTGAGTTTTTTGGAGGCTGGTTCACAGTTATGGACTTTTGAAACAAAAAAGACAAGTGTGTTCTTTGTGGGACTTAAAGGATAATTAAAGACATAAAAACTAATTTATTCTTAATGACATAAATAGCTATATTATAAAATGGATTGTAATAACAAGACAGTAATAGTAACACCGACAAAATAATACGATCATAGTAATAACAATACCCATGTAGGTGGGGTATAAGGGCGATGACTAGTAATGAAGTTGCCATGGAAGATAGCAGGGCTGGAGCATAGAGTGGTGGTGGACTAGATATCAACACAAACGCAGTAACAACAAACAAGATAACAATAACAGTCATTATCACTATCAAAATTCTACAAAACTAGACCATAATTTGAACTAGACAGTCACACGATCACAGTAACGTGAATTAGATAACCACATGATCATAGTAACAGTTATAATCACTAATATAATGGTTCATAAGTTTAAATTAAAAAAAACACATAATTTTTCCATCCATATTAGAACAAATTCAAAATTAATATATCAAAACAACCAAGTAAAAGTAGAGATCTAAATAAATTTTTTCACATAAAATAATAAAACCCTTAACTCATGCATTTTATTGAATACTATTTGAGCATAATATAAAGATTGAAGAATGTTATGAGCATTCATTATCCATTATGGTGCAAAACAATCCACATGGCCGTCTCTGGCGATTTAATATAAAATTCATAGATAGATCATACATGAAGTTGCCAAAAATAACACCTAGTTATAATAAGATTACACACTTACAAGGCACAAAATTTAAAATCCTCTCACATCCAAATGATGCTGAAGCCTCACAAATCAATAGCTATCTACTCTAACAGCCTACCAAAAAAAACTCTAAAATATAATTTTATGTTCAAGGAGTAGAGGGAATTACATCTTCAAGAACAAAGTTGTTGAGGGTTGCAGGGAATTGCATCTTCATATCAATAGATATCTAAGCCGACAAGAAAAAGAGAGCCGTCTAGGAGAACTTTCTGGACTCCCATTGGTAACGATGTGAAGAATATTTGACCAAGCCTCACTCAAANCCCCCCCCCACAGGCGGTGTATAGTGGTGGTCAGAAGTCTTGGGCAACAGATTACATTGGGGTAGAATAAGAAATAATAATAGTACAAAAACTGACTATTGGACCTACTTACCAAATATTACACATCAGATTTTCTTAATAAACCAATAAATTTACACCTGTCTTTATTAACAAAATAAATTGTCATCTTATCCTTAATTCTAATTTTCACTAATTTTAATGTTAATTCCTATCCACCCTTTTGAATACCACCCCTACCTGGGTTTCAAAAACCCCATTTACATGGTTAGGGTTGTTTATAGTAATGACCGTGGGCCCAGATTCAATATTCTATTAGAAAACAACATATGCCAAGCTCCAACTATGTAGACCCCAGATTTATTTTACTCAATCCCACGAACTAAAATGGTCCTTAATAGCATTTTGACATGTAGTATTTTGATGCCAAAATTGACATGCTAAATTTGGATTTAAAAGTTTATGTGATAGTTTAACAGGTAAAATTTGTTATCTTCATTTCATTAATACTCCAATCGATATGTCAAAATTATTTATTTTACATCTTTATATTTTATTATATTAATTTAATATATATTTTTAAAATAAAATTTGGGATTAATTAAAATAATAATTTTTAAAAATATAACAATTTTTATATCAAACTAGTACATATTTTAGTGAAACTAAAATTCTCCTTAAACTTAACTAATACAATTTTAAACGAACCAATGAGTTGTTGTCCTAATAGATAAGAACTCGGATTTTCTCGCTCAGCGCTTATGTTCAAGCAGGAGAGGAACTAGGATTTCACATTAAAGAGGGTAAACTATTGTAGAAAACAATTTCACCAGTTTATACAAAATATTTCCAAGCATGAAAAAATATTTTTGGATTCAAAACTAGATTACTATTAAACAGCAAAACCAATTTCCATTTAACTTAAAAAAAAATATGAACTACAAACCATAAAATAAGTTATGGTATTACATTTCAACCCAATCACAAACTAAAGTAGAATACGATATTTTTTCAAATCTCAAAATTAGTCTATAATGTATTGATGAGAAACTAAATATTTAGAAATTCTCTTCAATGTAAAAAATTACATTATCCATGACAAAATCATTATTCATTTTATATTGTGAAAACTGGTTGAAATCATCATTTATTTTGTTGATTTACTCAATCCAAAATCTACAATATTATTTTTTTGGGAGGAGGGAGGCAATGCGCCACTAATTTGCCAAAAATTAAAAATAAGTTAAGACCATTATAACCATTTTCAAAAATCAAGGAGGGCAAATATATTAAAATAACCAAACTATCATCCCTTAATAATACATAAATAAAGGGATTCAAAAACTCAGGGGGCAAGTGCCCACCCTCCCCACTATGTGGCTCCACCCTTAGGTTCAAGTATGCATAGCTACGGCAACTCGTTAGAGCTAAACTTACTCTTTAACACTTAGAGTAAATGATAAGACCTTACTTTCAACCCCGACATAGGGGCGGTAGAGTCCCATACAGATAGTTGTATAGTGCTGATGAACAATACTCACTGACAGATATGTGGAGTAACCTATCTATATATCCATTTTATGTACCGAAAAAAAAAAAAACTAAACAACAATTAAAAATATGATTCCAAAACATAAACTCAAACCAATAAAATAATACCTTGAAAATCATTTAGCATAGCTTCCTTCACATGCCAAATTCGGCATGCTGCCGAATCTATTTTTGTCAACAGGGCATTTGGCCATTCGGTTGGAGTTGGTCGAAGTTCACTAAAGACAGGCCCTGGGATCTTTAGACAATGCAAACAACTCACTAATTCAATCATCAACAAATTGCATAGCAATTGAGAGGCACATTAATACATACTTGCAAAGTAACGAAAACGCTATTTTGATCCCTCAGATTTGAATAGGACAAGACCATGGCCGGCGACCAGTTATCTGCCAGCGTTCCATCTCCAAAGCCTTGATTAGTCGAAATTTTTTTTATTCCCCGGTCATTATCAAGTATAAACAAGCAAAATTAACAACAATGCGCGTGTAGTCCTTTGATGTGGAGTTGTGCTTGGAGTGAACCGTAAACTAGAATGTCTCGGATTGCATGGGTGGATCCCATATGCCCCCTCTCTACGATGAATATACATACTAGTCCAAGAACAAGTAACAAGGACACAAGTTTCTTCAGATATGGACTAAAGAAAAATTAAAACCAACGAACCTAAGGACAGGGTATCTCACAAGGAATGCATCGAGCAATGCTTTAAAGGAATCATTGTCCACACTATGTCACTGCATATGGATTCGGAAACTTAAATGCTTGTTACTTCATAACAAGTCTCTGCCAAGATATGCCAACAACAAAGACAAACAAGAATATACCGGAGAAATCAAGTTTTTTGTAATAAATTTGACAGATTGAACGAAGTTCTCAATGATTCTCGCTACCTTAAAATCTAGCATCTTGCGCCAATTTGAAGAGAGGCAATATTGGAGCTAACAATGATGATACTCGTGGTGTTCATATCAGTTCTTGTGCTTTCAGCAGCCTTCTTCTTGATGCATGCATGGCGTTCTCCGATGGCAATGGATGCAATTCCGGGAAACCTGGGTTGGCCTATTGTGGGAGAAACTTTCTCCTTCCTGTCTGAGTTTTCAAGTCCTTGCGGTGTTTACAGCTTCATGAAAAAGAGACAGCAGAGGTAGGCAATCAAAAATATCTATGCAAAAACCAGAAATCAAAACAATTTGTTTTCAATCTTACTGTCTCATATAACAAATCTCACCATTAGGTATGGAAAGGTGTTTAAGAGTTCTGTTTTGGGGAGACTTACCGTCTTCATGACTGGGAGGGAAGCAGCCAAGATTCTGTTAACAGGCAAAGATGGAATAGTGAGCTTGAACCTCTTCTATGCTGGAAAGCAGGTGCTTGGCCCAACTAGCTTGCTCCAACAGACTGGAGAAGCACACAAGCGTCTTCGGCGGTTGATTGCCGAGCCCCTATCTGTTGATGGCCTGAAAAAATATTTCCAGTTCATCAACAATTTGGCAATTGAAACATTAGATCAGTGGCCTGGACGAACAGTCTTGGTTCATGAAGAGGCTTCCACAGTAAAGTTTTGATAATTGATTTAACACATCAAAGTACATAGTCTAAGGTTGTTTCTTGAGATACGACTGAATATATTTGAATTTTGCAGTTCACACTAAAGGTAATAGGCAACATGATAATGAGCTTAGAACCAACTGGGGAGGAGCAAGAAAAATTCCGGGCCAATTTCAAAGTCATTTCTTCCTCATTTGCATCTTTGCCGATAAAAATCCCAGGAACCACTCTTTACCGTGGTATCAAGGTAACATTTCAGTAAGTTGATCACAATGAACAAACACAAGGACTTATATTTAGGATATGCTGCAACTTAGATCTGAAGGAAAGACTTTTAGAAATAGTACTGAGATTGTATTCCATCAAATCAGGCACGTGATCGGATGTACGACATGTTAGATACAACAATTTTCAAACGAAGAAATAGAGAGAGCTTCCGACAAGATTTCTTAGAATCCCTGATAAAGAAGCACTGCAAGGATACATCAGAAGGAGAAGATGATAAACTTACAGATACGCAATTGAAGGACAACATCTTGACCCTGCTAGTTGCAGGTCATGATACCACAACTGCTGCTCTAACATGGGTTATCAAATTCCTTGAAGAAAATCCAGCTGCATTGGAACGTCTCAGAGTAATATTTGCTTAACATCCAGCATCACTAGAATTTCCTGTTGAAGATCGAGAATGAGAACCTTACGCTGGATTTGCAGGAGGAACACATGGAAATTCAAGGTAGCAGAAAGAATGGATCTAGTCTCACCTGGTCTGAAATCAACAACATGCCTTACACCACGAAGGTTAGCTGCACGCCCATAAAGTTTTGGTATGATACCTATATCTACCCAACTCAAAGTTTACCCAATTCAACAATTCTTGTCATTTTCAGGTGATTAATGAAACTCTTCGAATAGCCACAATCCTTCCTTGGTTTTCAAGAAAAGCAGCACTAGACTTTGAGATCGATGGTATGAGCTTTCCAACTTAACATCCTACACTGATATTTCCTGCTATACATTAAATGATGAAACTGCACTAATATTTCAGGGTGCAAAATCAAAAAAGGCTGGTCAATCAATTTGGATGTGGTTTCTATTCACCATGACCCAGCAGTTTTTCCTGATCCCCTGAAGTTTGATCCCTCTAGATTTGATGTAACTTCTCCGTAGTCTCAATTCATCAATGAACATAATATTTTCTTCCCTTTCATTTGGACGATGAGATATGATTTTATGGATCAACTGCAGGAACCCTTAAAGCCTTTTAGCTTCCTTGGGTTTGGAAGCGGACCACGCATGTGTCCTGGAATCAACCTGGCCAAGCTGGAAATTTTGGTCTTTATTCATCATCTTGTCTGCAGATACAAGTAAGATGAATTATCTTTTAAGGACTTCGCAGGTGGGAAAGAATTAACCAGCTGGAGCTTCCTCATAGCCTTGCATATTATACCTTGAATATGAAATACTACCCAGTAAGGGGACCTCAATAATCCAATTATCAACTAAAACTATATCAGAACGATTTCATCCGCAATTTAGAACACCTTTCCATATTTTGTCTAGCTAAAAGATATGGCTAAATTTTCCCAATTTATCCAAAGCTACGCTTCTAATTTGACATTGTAACTCCCATTGCAGGTGGAGTCCTTTGGAGAAAGATGATTCAGTCCAGCCAACAGTTGTCCGGATGCCAAGGAACAAGTACCCAATCATAGTGAAGCCACTTTAAAGCATTTGTTTTAAGAAGTACCCAATCATATTGTGGTTATCCTATGATCCAAAAAAAAACTCAGCATATCCTCTTCTCCATCGTACATCTGCTTTGTAATAAGGAAAATACTGTCGGCATTAAACCCATAGTTGAACCGGTCAATCTCAAACCACTCACAGACGATGACTACTTAAAAATAAGCAAGCACTTGTATTAATTTCAAGGAATAAAAAACCTGTCTGAACTTGATCTTCACTGATTCTACACTCACGGAGAGAGAAGAACCGAAAGGGTTGTTAACTGTTTCAAGAACTTGGTTAACCTTACAAATAGGTATCTGGAGGGAGATCTTCTAAAATATATTTTTCCTCCTCTAAAGATCTTCCCCAATATCTTCAAGTGGTAGTAGGACCTAATGTAAATGAATAGGTCCCTCGCTAACACATGGTGAATGATCTACCAAGGAAGAAAATAGAGGAAAAAGGAATTGGAGGGGGTACATGAATTAAATTTCATCATTCCGCTCTGCCTAGGGTTTTGATCCCCATGCGATCCACTCACTACTTTGTCCTTTTGAGGCAATAAACATCACAACCTTGCACCATCAGGCAATCAGCAAGGGAAATTTAAGGCCAATTGCAATATCATAATGACAACCATTTAAATATGCTAGATACAGCTGCATAAAGGCATCAAGGAACTATTAAATTAGGGAGATTAAAATAGAAAAACTAAATTAAGGATCTAGAAAATAATTAAGAACACTTACATATCATGAATTCATAAAAACATGCATCAGAATTTGGAACGAACAAAGAAAGCACTTTGAAAAGACGCATCTCATGTGATTCAACTGAACTAGATGCCCTTCCATGTGAGAAATAAAAATCAACCACCTGGAATGTTTCTCTTCAGGACGGCCTACATGTGCTCTCTGGTCTGAAGTAGTTCCCTCCCTTGAGATGCTGTGCTAGCTTTTTTTGCATTTATCAATCATCATGCCATTTTTATTCCTGCAGTCCTGCACCAGATAACTTGATCAATCAATTGTAGGCATTTCAAATTTTTCAGAATCGCAGGGTTTGATTGCAAATAACAGACCTGAGCCAAACAGGAAACTCCTGTTTTTTTTTTTCTCATGCGCTCTTATGCAAATACAAGAGCAATGTAGAATAGAGAGACGAGATGAATTGAAGGAGAAACAAGCTTCTAGCTTCTGAAATGGTATTAAAAAATCTATGCATTTACCATTTGATGGCACAAGCAAGCAGGAAGATCTAAAAGGCCAAAAATTTGGACAATGTAATTGGTTAAATCTACAATCAGAATCTCTGGCCATAAAATTTTGTGAGATTCCCTTTTCTGTCAACAAAAATAAAAGTGATTCAACATGTGGTTAAATTCTTGGCAGAAATAAATGTTGGGCGTTTGTGAAATCTAATTTGTGTGTTGATCCGGATGATGACCCGATCCAGAATAATGTTGTATGGTTTTTTAATGGGAAATTTTCTGAGGCTTGGACCATGGAGCGAAAGTTTGGGCCTGTTTTGTAGTTCAATGCGCAGGACATATAAAACCTGTTATTTTGATGTTAGGGTTTATGGTGTTTTGTACAGCCGCTCTCTGTATTCATCCCTCTCCATAGTGAAATTCCTGTAACTTCGTGGACGTAGACAAATTGTCGAACCACGTAAAATCTGTGTCTTGTTTTTTCTTGTTTCTTAATAGTTTATGTTTTTGGTTTGTTTTTCGATTATGTGTGTTTGTCTGTGAGTTTAAAACGTGTTAAATCCCAACAATAAACTCGTATATGAGAGAAATCAGGTCGTATATAAGAGACATCAGGTTGTAGCTCCTACAAGCACCAAGTGATGCATTTGCATTAGCAGGAGGGCATCAGCCCAGCTTTATACAGAAAATTCNATAATTAAGAACACTTACATATCATGAATTCATAAAAACATGCATCAGAATTTGGAACGAACAAAGAAAGCACTTTGAAAAGACGCATCTCATGTGATTCAACTGAACTAGATGCCCTTCCATGTGAGAAATAAAAATCAACCACCTGGAATGTTTCTCTTCAGGACGGCCTACATGTGCTCTCTGGTCTGAAGTAGTTCCCTCCCTTGAGATGCTGTGCTAGCTTTTTTTGCATTTATCAATCATCATGCCATTTTTATTCCTGCAGTCCTGCACCAGATAACTTGATCAATCAATTGTAGGCATTTCAAATTTTTCAGAATCGCAGGGTTTGATTGCAAATAACAGACCTGAGCCAAACAGGAAACTCCTGTTTTTTTTTTTCTCATGCGCTCTTATGCAAATACAAGAGCAATGTAGAATAGAGAGACGAGATGAATTGAAGGAGAAACAAGCTTCTAGCTTCTGAAATGGTATTAAAAAATCTATGCATTTACCATTTGATGGCACAAGCAAGCAGGAAGATCTAAAAGGCCAAAAATTTGGACAATGTAATTGGTTAAATCTACAATCAGAATCTCTGGCCATAAAATTTTGTGAGATTCCCTTTTCTGTCAACAAAAATAAAAGTGATTCAACATGTGGTTAAATTCTTGGCAGAAATAAATGTTGGGCCTTTGTGGAATCTAATTTGTGTGTTGATCCGGATGATGACCCGATCCGGAATAATGTTGTATAGTTTTTTAGTGGCAAATTTTCTGAGGCTTGGACCATGGAGCGAAAGTTTGGGCCTGTTTTGTAGTTCAATGCGCAGGACATATAAAACCTGTTATTTTGATGTTAGGGTTTATGGTGTTTTGTACAGCAGCTCTCTGTATTCATCCCTCTCCATAGTGAAATTCCTGCAACTTCGTGGACGTAGACAAATTGTCGAACCACGTAAAATTTGTGTCTTGTTTTTTCTTGTTTCTTAATAGTTTATGTTTTTGGTTTGTTTTTCGATTGTGTGTGTTTGTCTGTGAGTTTAAAGCGTGTTAAATCCCAACAATAAACTCGAATATAAGAGAAATCAGGTCGTATGTAAGAGAAATCAGGTTGTAGCTCCTACAAGCACCAAGTGATGCATTTGCATTAGCAGGAGGGCATCAGCCCAGCTTTATACAGAAAATCTAGTGGAGCGTCTAGTCAAAGCAACCTATATTGCGATAACAGTGGCCGATATCCGTTAGTCGAGCCAATGTAAAACTATTCCCACGTGGCACATGGGTGGAGTAAAATCTCAAAGTAAAACTAGAATCATCATTATTAAAAAAGTGCAATCACTAAGAGAGATCTCATCTGAATTAAATTCTAATCTTTCACAACAAACAACAGCAGAACCCGAAGGTTATCAGTTAGTCAATTTACACTGATAGATTGCTTGTGTAGAAGGCAAGCACAATTCTCATTTCCTATATCTGCTGCAAGACAAGGAGGTTGCACTTTCTCATCCTGATACAAGACCAAACGCATTTTAACTAATTCATTCAAGAAATAATCCAGCTTCTCAATAGTGACATTGGGCATCACAACAACATGAGCCATATTTCCCTCACAAGCAAGTTGCCAATGGCGAACAAAATCTTCATTCCAAGGTCGCTCAAACACCACTGTGCTGCTCAGCTCATTGAGCATGGCACTAATTCCTGCCTCTCGAAGGCGATCTTTCAAGTAATGAGCATTTCTGAGGCACTTTTGGACTTCTTTTTGGAACCCCTTGAAACCTTTTCTGTTTAGGGTGTACCACAGGAAAATTGGAGCATGCCCATTCCGACTTCCCATGATTGTGGCATCCCTTGAAGCAAGATATTCAACATTCCTAGAGAGTGCATTAATGTGCTCGAGCCTTGTTATCTGAACACCGCAAGGCATTGGACATCCCACTAACTTGTGACCAGAAACACTCACGCTTCCAATGGGCTTTTTAAACGTAACCTTGGGTGCCTGTTCATAACCGAGACCAATAAGCAAAAGAAGCAGAAATGAACTCTATATTAACCAACATATAAATTTAATGGATGAAAAGAAGAATTAGAAGAATGAGCCAAGGGAAAAAGCAGTTAAAGCAATAGAGATAAAAGGGATATACTGGTGCACAGTCCATCGTTCAAGAGCAGGACGAGAAAGCAGTCTTATATGCGTTCGTTGTACTTATTGAAGTATTTATGAGTCACATGCATGAAAGCAACTATTCTACCATATAGTTTTCAAATCAATGGTTGAGCAGAAACATCAGAGTCGCATGCGTTTGTCAGACTTTTTAATTAATGCTCAAGCATTCTGGGAGTGGGAGGCATGACAAGTAAACTCTTCTATTTGGTGATGTGGCACCTATAATTTTGTTTGATTCCCATTTATGTTAATTAAACTTTCCTTCTCCACCACCCGTTTGGGGATACCTTTGGCCATGTGCTTGTTAACCCGAAATGCCAACAGAAAATATACGCACAACAATCTCCAAGTGAACATACAAATGATGGGCCAAAAAGGCCTATACATGTGCAAGACGTGAACAGTGGTATAAATGCAGATCCACTTACACGTTTTACAAATGGCATCATCAGCCCAAATAAAGCTCCATCACAGTGGATGTAAAAGCGATCAGGTGAGAATCCACATTCTTCAAGGGTCTGTATAACAAGATCAAGATCATCAACAGCCCCTTTACAGTAGTACCTGCAAAACAAGGTAGCAGAAATCAATTCAAGTGTTACAGGGTCTGATTGTGAGAGGGAGACAGAGAAAGAGATTATACCTATGTTGACATTGATGATAGCCGGTTTGTCCTTGTTAGGAAGTAGCTTGGATTTGAAATCTGCACAATCTATTTCTCCAGTGACTAGCGTGCCAACCTTGACACATTCCATTCTGTACATTCTTGCTGCTTTATAGACAGAATAATGCGATTCTCGTGATGCATACAAAATTCCATCCGGAAACACTTCTCTCCTGCACAATTGAATAGTACTTATGCTAAAACCATTCGGGAACAGATATCAAAGAAACTCTCAATTGTAAAATAGAGCGTTGGCCAGCTAAAGCACAAGTAACAGACTCGAGTGGGAAACTTATCAGAAAGAAAATAACAAAAACACTACTTACCCAACCAGAATTCCATGAAGATTGCCTTCCGTACCACAATTTGTAATATATCCCCAGTATTCATTCTTCTCGATTTCCCATAAACGGGCAAACCAATCCAGAACACCAACTTCAAATTGCCTGGAATGGACACCATAGTTGCTCTGGATGAAAGGATCACCCAGGTTGTTGATGGAAAAGTGCTGCAACTGTGCTAGATCACCATAATCGAAGTCCAGATTATAAGGATAACCTGTAACAAGTCGACATCAAGAAGCAATATGAACCCCTGATATTAGAATTGGAAGCTGAGACAGGTATCTGGAAAACATTACTGACTGCTACTTCTGTTTTGTGCACCGAAAATATGTCTGCTTGGTAAACTTCCACCTTACTACGTGTCTATCAAAGAAACTAGACCTCACCTGATTGACACGTCTAAACATTTGCACACATAAATAAAAGGATAAAATACACCTTTATTCTACAAAATACGTGTTTATTGTTTGTTTGGTCTCTAATTTTTTTATTGTATTTATTTAATCTCTAAAATTTTTAATTTGTATTTAAGTGGTTCAATCCCAAAAGTAGTCAAAAAATTATTATTGATAGTTCTACTTCCACACGTCAATCACGTTGTTCTTAATTTAGTGCATACTTAGTCTTTAAAGTTCTTAATTTATGTCTATTTAGACCTTAAAATGCTTAGTTTGTGTCTATTTGGTCCCATATAATTGATATGTGACCAGAGCTGGGATTGGATTATGTAGATATAAATTAGAAATCTAGGGGATTAAATAGATATAATTGAAAGATTAGAGACTAAATAAATATTACACGCATACTTTGAGGACTAAAAATATATTTTATCCCANGCAGTCTTATATGCGTTCGTTGTACTTATTGAAGTATTTATGAGTCACATGCATGAAAGCAACTATTCTACCATATAGTTTTCAAATCAATGGTTGAGCAGAAACATCAGAGTCGCATGCGTTTGTCAGACTTTTTAATTAATGCTCAAGCATTCTGGGAGTGGGAGGCATGACAAGTAAACTCTTCTATTTGGTGATGTGGCACCTATAATTTTGTTTGATTCCCATTTATGTTAATTAAACTTTCCTTCTCCACCACCCGTTGGGGGATACCTTTGGCCATGTGCTTGTTAACCCGAAATGCCAACAGAAAATATACGCACAACAATCTCCAAGTGAACATACAAATGATGGGCCAAAAAGGCCTATACATGTGCAAGACGTGAACAGTGGTATAAATGCAGATCCACTTACACGTTTTACAAATGGCATCATCAGCCCAAATAAAGCTCCATCACAGTGGATGTAAAAGCGATCAGGTGAGAATCCACATTCTTCAAGGGTCTGTATAACAAGATCAAGATCATCAACAGCCCCTTTTACAGTAGTACCTGCAAAACAAGGTAGCAGAAATCAATTCAAGTGTTACAGGGTCTGATTGTGAGAGGGAGACAGAGAAAGAGATTATACCTATGTTGACATTGATGATAGCCGGTTTGTCCTTGTTAGGAAGTAGCTTGGATTTGAAATCTGCACAATCTATTTCTCCAGTGACTAGCGTGCCAACCTTGACACATTCCATTCTGTACATTCTTGCTGCTTTATAGACAGAATAATGCGATTCTCGTGATGCATACAAAATTCCATCCGGAAACACTTCTCTCCTGCACAATTGAATAGTACTTATGCTAAAACCATTCGGGAACAGATATCAAAGAAACTCTCAATTGTAAAATAGAGCGTTGGCCAGCTAAAGCACAAGTAACAGACTCGAGTGGGAAACTTATCAGAAAGAAAATAACAAAAACACTACTTACCCAACCAGAATTCCATGAAGATTGCCTTCCGTACCACAATTTGTAATATATCCCCAGTATTCATTCTTCTCGATTTCCCATAAACGGGCAAACCAATCCAGAACACCAACTTCAAATTGCCTGGAATGGACACCATAGTTGCTCTGGATGAAAGGATCACCCAGGTTGTTGATGGAAAAGTGCTGCAACTGTGCTAGATCACCATAATCGAAGTCCAGATTATAAGGATAACCTGTAACAAGTCGACATCAAGAAGCAATATGAACCCCTGATATTAGAATTGGAAGCTGAGACAGGTATCTGGAAAACATTACTGACTGCTACTTCTGTTTTGTGCACCGAAAATATGTCTGTTTGGTAAACTTCCACCTTACTACGTGTCTATCAAAGAAACTAGACCTCACCTGATTGACACGTCTAAACATTTGCACACATAAATAAAAGGATAAAATACACCTTTATTCTACAAAATACGTGTTTATTGTTTGTTTGGTCTCTAATTTTTTTATTGTATTTATTTAATCCCTAAAATTTTTAATTTGTATTTAAGTGGTTCAATCCCAAAAGCCGTCAAAAAATTATTATTGATAGTTCTACTTCCACACGTCAATCACGTTGTTCTTAATTTAGTGCATACTTAGTCTTTAAAGTTCTTAATTTATGTCTATTTAGACCCTAAAATGTCTAATTTGTGTCTATTTGGTCTCATATGATTGATATGTGACCAGAGCTGGGATTGGATTATGTAGATATAATTTAGAAATCTAAGGGATTAAATAGATATAATTGAAAGATTAGAGACTAAATAACTATTACATGCCTACTTTGAGGACTAAAAATATATTTTATCCTAAATAAAACATAAAACAACAAAAAGAGAGGGAAAGAAAATATCTTGTTACCTAGATGATGGTTGGTCCTCTCAACGAGAGTCTTCCGGTACCTAGCCAACACGCTGGCCATATAAGCCTCCTTATCACCGGTCCACTCATCATCGGCGTCCGGTTCCGTGACCTCAAGGCACCTGGCGTGCACGTTCTTTCCCAACACTATCTCTCTCTTCTTCTCTCTACATTCACCTAAAACCCCATTTCTGAACTCTCCACCACCGTCACGTGAATCGCCATTGACCGTCCCACCGTTCAACACCGTCACCGACGGTAACGCCTCCGAAATCACAGCGGTGGAATCGAATTTATCCGACACTATAGCAGTAACTTTAACGTTGGATAGGCCGGACATGGATTCAACTCCGACAGTCACAACCATTATTGGATTACAGAACTGTAAATGTAGAAATTCAGGAGACAGAAATGTATAGAGAATTCGGGAGGTTGCTACTTTTGAAGAAGCGAGAGAAGCGGTCTATTGGGGTGGTTCGACTTGTGATTTATAGGCGCGAAAGGTCGGGGTGCTGGCAGGGGCAGCGTCAGGAATTTTTGTTAAGCGGCTGCTCTAATTGTTTTCATTCTAACCTATAACATATTTATATTTATTATATTACATTTGATATATGAAGTCCATTTAACATAAAAAATTTAAACAAAAAAATTTATATTATCAAGGACAGAGCCATAAATATCTATGATAGAGGTAAAATATAACTAGTATAAAAAAATATTAAGTAGAAATTAATACAAAAAAATTCAATTTAAGAATAAAAAAAAAGTAAGAATCAACACTACATTATTGTGAAATAATAAATTTAATTTTTATTTAGCCAAAACAAAATTTTAACAGAAAGACACAAAATAATTTTTTAGTACATTTTAACATAATTATATATTTCAATAAAATATAAAAATTTCTAAAATTTTGTATATAAATTAAATGTAAATTAATTTTTGTATTTTATTAGGTTATAGACTACTATTACTAAAAAAATGGTAAATGAAAATTAAAAATTATTCTTAAAAGTAATGAATATTGTGTTAGATAAAGAGAAATATTGTATTCTCGTCAATATACAAATAAAATATTGACTCAATTCAAAGCAAACATATTTATTTTAAAGGGTTAGAGGTCCACTAATTTATTAAAAAAAAAACTAGAACCATTATTAAAATTTCCAAAATTTATGGGGTAAATATAATGTATAAAATAATTTTATAGGTTGGTGCAAGGAAGGACAAAAAAATTCAAGGAACTGAGTTTTTCGTGTGTTGAACTTTTCTCTGTTTCTTCTCTTTTTCTTGTGGCTGGGCAGTGGGCAACTAGGAGTGAGTGGTACAGATAAAAAAAAAAAGAGAAAGATAAGATAGATTTTAGTCAAGTAGGCCAAAAATTTTGATTTTTAATGATGGTGGCCCAAAAATTTTGTTTTTAATGTTGGGCTAAAAGTTCTATNAACCAGAATTCCATGAAGATTGCCTTCCGTACCACAATTTGTAATATATCCCCAGTATTCATTCTTCTCGATTTCCCATAGACGGGCAAACCAATCCAGAACACCAACTTCAAATTGCCTGGAATGGACACCATAGTTGCTCTGGATGAAAGGATCACCCAGGTTGTTGATGGAAAAGTGCTGCAACTGTGCTAGATCACCATAATCGAAGTCCAGATTATAAGGATAACCTGTAACAAGTCGACATCAAGAAGCAATATGAACCCCTGATATTAGAATTGGAAGCTGAGACAGGTATCTGGAAAACATTACTGACTGCTACTTCTGTTTTGTGCACCGAAAATATGTCTGTTTGGTAAACTTCCACCTTACTACGTGTCTATCAAAGAAACTAGACCTCACCTGATTGACACGTCTAAACATTTGCACACATAAATAAAAGGATAAAATACACCTTTATTCTACAAAATACGTGTTTATTGTTTGTTTGGTCTCTAATTTTTTTATTGTATTTATTTAATCCCTAAAATTTTTAATTTGTATTTAAGTGGTTCAATCCCAAAAGCCGTCAAAAAATTATTATTGATAGTTCTACTTCCACACGTCAATCACGTTGTTCTTAATTTAGTGCATACTTAGTCTTTAAAGTTCTTAATTTATGTCTATTTAGACCCTAAAATGTCTAATTTGTGTCTATTTGGTCTCATATGATTGATATGTGACCAGAGCTGGGATTGGATTATGTAGATATAATTTAGAAATCTAAGGGATTAAATAGATATAATTGAAAGATTAGAGACTAAATAACTATTACATGCCTACTTTGAGGACTAAAAATATATTTTATCCTAAATAAAACATAAAACAACAAAAAGAGAGGGAAAGAAAATATCTTGTTACCTAGATGATGGTTGGTCCTCTCAACGAGAGTCTTCCGGTACCTAGCCAACACGCTGGCCATATAAGCCTCCTTATCACCGGTCCACTCATCATCGGCGTCCGGTTCCGTGACCTCAAGGCACCTGGCGTGCACGTTCTTTCCCAACACTATCTCTCTCTTCTTCTCTCTACATTCACCTAAAACCCCATTTCTGAACTCTCCACCACCGTCACGTGAATCGCCATTGACCGTCCCACCGTTCAACACCGTCACCGACGGTAACGCCTCCGAAATCACAGCGGTGGAATCGAATTTATCCGACACTATAGCAGTAACTTTAACGTTGGATAGGCCGGACATGGATTCAACTCCGACAGTCACAACCATTATTGGATTACAGAACTGTAAATGTAGAAATTCAGGAGACAGAAATGTATAGAGAATTCGGGAGGTTGCTACTTTTGAAGAAGCGAGAGAAGCGGTCTATTGGGGTGGTTCGACTTGTGATTTATAGGCGCGAAAGGTCGGGGTGCTGGCAGGGGGCAGCGTCAGGAATTTTTGTTAAGCGGCTGGTCTAATTGTTTTCATTCTAACCTATAACATATTTATATTTATTATATTATATTTGATATATGAAGTCCATTTAACATAAAAAATTTAAACAAAAAAATATATATTATCAAGGACAGAGCCATAAATATCTACGATAGAGGTAAAATATAATTGATATAAAAAAATATTAAATAGAAATTAATACAAAAAAATTCAATTTAAGAATAAAAAAAAAGTAAGAATCAACACTACATTATTGTGAAATAGTAAATTTAATTTTTATTTAACCAAAATAAAATTTTAACAAAAAGACACAAAATAATTTTTTAGTACATTTTAACCTAATTATATATTTCAATAAAATATAAAAATTTCTAAAATTTTGTATATAATTTAAATGTAAATTAGTTTTTGTATTTTATTAGGTTATAGACTACTATTACTAAAAAAATGGTAAATGAAAATTAAAAATTATCCTTAAAAGTAACGAATACTGTGTTAGATAAAGAGAAATATTGTATTCTCGTCAATATACAAATAAAATATTGACTCAATTCAAAGCAAACATATTTATTTTAGAGGGTTAGAGGTCCACTAATTTATTAAAAAAAAAACTAGAACCATTATTAAAATTTCCAAAATTTATGGGGTAAATATAATGTATAAAATAATTTTATAGGTTGGTGCAAGGAAGGACAAAAAAATTCAAGGAACTGAGTTTTTCGTGTGTTGAACTTTTCTCTGTTTCTTCTCTTTTTCTTGTGGCTGGGCAGTGGGCAACTAGGAGTGAGTGGTACAGATAAAAAAAAAAAAAAAAAGATAAGATAGGTTTTAGTCAAGTAGGCCAAAAGTTTTGATTTTTAATGATGGTGGCCCAAAAATTTTGTTTTTAATGTTGGGCTAAAAGTTCTGTTTTTTAATAAGTTTGAGTGGATTGTGATAAGTCAAATATTTGATTTTTTAATAAGTTTGGATAGATAATAATGAGTTCAACTTTTTTTGTTTTAAATGGACTTAATTTTTTAAGTATTTTGAGTAAATAATGTGAGTCTAATATAAATGAGAGACACATATAATATATATGTATAAATATATAATACATATATCTAACTAATAAAAAAAAATTGATGGGGCACGTGCCCACCCTGCCCCTATCTACCTCTGCCGATGGGTGCTGGGGAGTATGCCAACACAAGTTTCACGCTAGTATTTTTTATNAAATACGTGTTTATTGTTTGTTTGGTCTCTAATTTTTTTATTGTATTTATTTAATCCCTAAAATTTTTAATTTGTATTTAAGTGGTTCAATCCCAAAAGCCGTCAAAAAATTATTATTGATAGTTCTACTTCCACACGTCAATCACGTTGTTCTTAATTTAGTGCATACTTAGTCTTTAAAGTTCTTAATTTATGTCTATTTAGACCCTAAAATGTCTAATTTGTGTCTATTTGGTCTCATATGATTGATATGTGACCAGAGCTGGGATTGGATTATGTAGATATAATTTAGAAATCTAAGGGATTAAATAGATATAATTGAAAGATTAGAGACTAAATAACTATTACATGCCTACTTTGAGGACTAAAAATATATTTTATCCTAAATAAAACATAAAACAACAAAAAGAGAGGGAAAGAAAATATCTTGTTACCTAGATGATGGTTGGTCCTCTCAACGAGAGTCTTCCGGTACCTAGCCAACACGCTGGCCATATAAGCCTCCTTATCACCGGTCCACTCATCATCGGCGTCCGGTTCCGTGACCTCAAGGCACCTGGCGTGCACGTTCTTTCCCAACACTATCTCTCTCTTCTTCTCTCTACATTCACCTAAAACCCCATTTCTGAACTCTCCACCACCGTCACGTGAATCGCCATTGACCGTCCCACCGTTCAACACCGTCACCGACGGTAACGCCTCCGAAATCACAGCGGTGGAATCGAATTTATCCGACACTATAGCAGTAACTTTAACGTTGGATAGGCCGGACATGGATTCAACTCCGACAGTCACAACCATTATTGGATTACAGAACTGTAAATGTAGAAATTCAGGAGACAGAAATGTATAGAGAATTCGGGAGGTTGCTACTTTTGAAGAAGCGAGAGAAGCGGTCTATTGGGGTGGTTCGACTTGTGATTTATAGGCGCGAAAGGTCGGGGTGCTGGCAGGGGGCAGCGTCAGGAATTTTTGTTAAGCGGCTGCTCTAATTGTTTTCATTCTAACCTATAACATATTTATATTTATTATATTATATTTGATATATGAAGTCCATTTAACATAAAAAATTTAAACAAAAAAATATATATTATCAAGGACAGAGCCATAAATATCTACGATAGAGGTAAAATATAATTGATATAAAAAAATATTAAATAGAAATTAATACAAAAAAATTCAATTTAAGAATAAAAAAAAAGTAAGAATCAACACTACATTATTGTGAAATAGTAAATTTAATTTTTATTTAACCAAAATAAAATTTTAACAAAAAGACACAAAATAATTTTTTAGTACATTTTAACCTAATTATATATTTCAATAAAATATAAAAATTTCTAAAATTTTGTATATAAATTAAATGTAAATTAGTTTTTGTATTTTATTAGGTTATAGACTACTATTACTAAAAAAATGGTAAATGAAAATTAAAAATTATCCTTAAAAGTAACGAATACTGTGTTAGATAAAGAGAAATATTGTATTCTCGTCAATATACAAATAAAATATTGACTCAATTCAAAGCAAACATATTTATTTTAGAGGGTTAGAGGTCCACTAATTTATTAAAAAAAAAACTAGAACCATTATTAAAATTTCCAAAATTTATGGGGTAAATATAATGTATAAAATAATTTTATAGGTTGGAGCAAGGAAGGACAAAAAAATTCAAGGAACTGAGTTTTTCGTGTGTTGAACTTTTCTCTGTTTCTTCTCTTTTTCTTGTGGCTGGGCAGTGGGCAACTAGGAGTGAGTGGTACAGATAAAAAAAAAAAGAGAAAGATAAGATAGATTTTAGTCAAGTAGGCCAAAAATTTTGATTTTTAATGATGGTGGCCCAAAAATTTTGTTTTTAATGTTGGGCTAAAAGTTCTATTTTTTAATAAGTTTGAGTGGATTGTGATAAGTCAAATATTTGATTTTTTAATAAGTTTGGATAGATAATAATGAGTTCAATTTTTTTTGTTTTAAATGAACTTAATTTTTTAAGTATTTTGAGTAAACAATGTGAGTCTAATATAAATGAGGGGCACACATAATATATATGTATAAATATAAAATACATATATCTGACTAATAAAAAAAAATTGATGGGGGCACGTCCCCACCCTGCCCCTATCTACCTCTGCCGATGGGTGCTGGGGAGTATGCCAACACAAGTTTCACGCTAGTATTATTTTTTTTTTTTTTGGAGTCTTTGTACCTTGAAAGATTTAATATTTTTTTAGGAATATCCCTCAAATTTTAATTTATATTTTAAAAGATATAAATTTGTATCAATGTGTNTCTTAATTTAGTGCATACTTAGTCTTTAAAGTTCTTAATTTATGTCTATTTAGACCCTAAAATGTCTAATTTGTGTCTATTTGGTCTCATATGATTGATATGTGACCAGAGCTGGGATTGGATTATGTAGATATAATTTAGAAATCTAAGGGATTAAATAGATATAATTGAAAGATTAGAGACTAAATAACTATTACATGCCTACTTTGAGGACTAAAAATATATTTTATCCTANTTCAAAAAGAATTCTATCCATTAATGATGTTAAATAGCTCTCAATTGTATCGTATCATAACATATTCGTATCGTGTTCGAGTCAATAAAAAATATTTTTCAAAATTTTTATAAAAAAATTATAAAATACTTATATTTTGTCTACAATACTCGTTAAATAACTATTTTCTGTATAGTTGGAGAACATTTTGTACCCCAAAAAAATAAATTTTTTTTATTTTGTACCATCAAATATTAAATTTTTTACATTAAACTCATAATCTATTAAAAGTGTTATAATACAGCCCGATCATTACATATTTCGTAAAAAACCACCTTATTAACGTTAACAGAATAAGTAACAAAAATTAATTGAAGGATCACATTATAATATTTTTAATACATTAAAAATATAATATTGAAATCTAATATTTAATGGTACAAAATAAATTTGTTTTAAAATTTTCAGGGCGTAAAATAAAATTCACATTTTTTTTCTTGTTAGACACAAAAGGGTATGATAAGATCCGAAATCTCGATCTTAAAGTTCAACAGTTGGATGGTGATTATTAGGTCCATCTTTAACCTTGTGCGCTATGACTAGCATAGTGGCGTGTCCAAGTCACTAAATAAAAAGTCAACGATTTTAATTAAATTTAAATATATTACTCTTACTTTAAGATTGGTATCGTTACAGCAGTAGATGGTGGATTTTGGTATAGCGATAAAGCTATTCCGACTTGAACGTTAAGGAATAAATTTGTTGAATAATATTCTATAATTTATTAGTTAGAGTAGTTTTAGTACATTGGTTATATATCTAAATTAAGTTAATTTTAACATAATAAAAAAAAGGTATAAAGCTACTGAATGCAAATCGGATCGTAACTATTTTGGATCATAATTAAATTGATCGGTTAAATCTTCTTAAAAAATAGATCAACTCTAAATTGAATCAATTTTAGCACAATATATATAATACAATTATTTCAATTGTATCAATTATTTATTGAAATTATGATTAATAATTTAACACCATGAAATTCTGATAACGATGTATACATAATACATGTATCTCATGCGATAATTACACGGATTATCTCCAATTATATTATCTGGTAGTTAAAACTCCAATCATTTTTAAATATTAGATTTTTCTAATCTTGAAATACTCAATATGGATTCAACTAAGATCTAGTAGATTCACATCTATAGGCTTACTAGAGTAATTTGGAAGTGCAAACCTTTCATTTTTTTTTATTAAATAGGATTGTAATGTTGGTTTTGCTCATTTTTATATTTCTTTAATTGTATTTTGGTGGGGTTTGAATCAGATGTAGATTATTTAAATTATTCATGATTAATGAGTGAGAGATTTTTTATTTTTTTTTTTGTCAAATAAGTGAGAGATCCACTTTTATATAATAGATCACACTTAAATACACAAGAAATAATCTATTAAAATAAATGAAAAAAAATTCAGTCACACATCTTCTAGTTTATCATATCTTCAAAGACACTCCTTCTATTTTTGAATATTCACTGACACCCCATGTCAGATTAAAGATGTTAATTAGAATGTAACTTTACAAAATTACCCATTATATATTTTAGGAAAAATTTCATTTACATTCCCTCTAGATAGATATATCTTCAATGAGTTCCCCTCTATTTTTTAAATTATTTTATGTATTAAAATTTGGATAAATTAAAATTCAATTCGAGCTAATTAAAATTTATTTTTTAGCTATTAAAATTTGAGTCGATTAAAAATTATATTTTTTTACTTATTAAAATTTTAGCGGATTAAAATTCTATTCAAGACTCAAATTAAATTTTAATCAAGTTGCATTAAATTTTAATAGAGCCGATTTTGATACATAAAAAAAATATAAATTTTAATCAACTTGAATTGAATTTTAATAAATAAAAAAATATATAAATTTTAATCGACTCGAAGAGAATTTTAATTAGGGCCAACAGCTCAAATCGACTCAAATTTTAATACGTAAAAAAAAAAATTTAATCGATTGAAATCTAATTTTAATCAACTCAAATTTTAATATGTAAAAAAAAATAATCAACTCAAATTTTAATATGTAGAAAAATAAATTTTAATCAAATTTTATGTAAAAAAATTATTTGGGGTTTATATAGGGGCAATTTTGATATTTTAAATAATTTATTTTTTAATTATAAATAGTGATTTAATGACAATGTATCAATAATATTTTTGATAGTAGAGTGAATGATCTTAAATATATAATAAAGTAAAAAAGGTATTGCTGAAATTTTTCCAAAACAAATTTAAAAAAAGATATGAGAAGAAATTTTAGTCCAATTCCACGAAAGGTGCAATTGTGCATGTGCGTGGTGGTAGCCGTCAAAATACAATCAGACGGACCTGAATACGGTACATTCATTGAGAATTTCACTACCATACCGACCATCAAATGGGGGCTAAAAGCTGATTTTGTCACTGTAGAATAATGCAAAAATTGATACGTGTAAAGTAAAAGCAAGGCAATCGGATGACAATCGGTTACCATAGAAATGAGTGAGTTATATGGAATATTTATAATATTACATGCCAGATTTAGAACAATAATGAGTACAATAACAAAGATAATAGTATTCTTACAAAGTGAGTGGAACCAAGTACAATTGCAACGGTGTATTTATGATATCAGTAAGAAATGTAAAAAATTAATGGGATAAGTACTAAAGTAAAGGTATATTTACAACAAAAGTGAAAAAATTCATGACTCCGCAGTAATGAATGAGTTACAAATATTATGGAATATTTACAATATTAGTTGCAAGATTTACAACAATAATGAGTACAATAACAAAGATAATAGTATTATTATAAAGTAAGTGGAACCAAGTACAATAGTAATGGTGTATTTACGACATCAGTAAGAAATATAAAAAAGAAATGGGATAAGTACAAAAGTAATAGTATATTTATAACAAAAATGAAAAAATTTACGACTCATAGTCAATGTAATGGATGATCGATCAAATAAATGTATGATCGATCATTATGTGGAAAGGTGTTGCGTAAGAAAATAGAATTTTGGAAAGAAATAAATAAATATATAATTTGACCGATCACGAAAATGAATGATCGATCATAGTGGCTCAATAAGGTGTTTTTTCTAAAAAATTGCGATGTTAACGATATTACTAGGTAAAAGTACAAAATTAATGGCATAATTACAACAAGATTGAGAAATGTTGAAATTCAGTGGGATTGAGATCAATCAATTATGTATGATGATCGATCATAGAGGTAATGATGGAGAAGTTGAAGGGGAAGTGGTATTGCGATCGATCAATTATGTATGATGATCGATCATGGAGTTATTAATGGAGAAGTTGAAGGGGAAGTGGTATTGCGATCGCTCAATTATGTATGATGATCGATCATGGAGTTATTAATGGAGAAGTTGAAGGGGAAGTGGTATTGCGATCGATCAATTATGTATGATGATCGATCATGGAGTTATTAATGGAGAAGTTGAAGGGGAAGTGGGATTGCGATCGATCAAGTATATATAATGATCGATCTGGAGTTACTAATGGCGAAGTTTATTGGGCCAGTGGTATTGCGATCAATCAATTATGTATGATGATCGACCATGCCGTTAGTGAAGGAGAAGGTTATGGTGGCAGTGGGATTGCAATCGATCAATTATGTATAATTGATCGATCATTGAGTTACTGATGGAGAAGGTTATGATGCCAGTGGGATTGCGATCGATCAATTATGTATATTGATCAATCAAGAAGTTACTGCTGGAGAAGTTTAAGGAGCAAGTGGGATTGCGATCGATAAAAAATAAATAGAATAGATCAAAAGTTGATGTATTTACTTAAATGCCCACAAAGAGCAATAAATGTAAGTGTTGTAAGGGGGGCTTTGTAGTAAATAAACATCGACTTACCCAAATAAATCCCACAAAATTACCCCTAAATTGCTCGCGCCTTCCATTCTCATTCAAAATTCCTTTCAAATCCGACAATACCCATTTCAAACCCATTAAAAATCCTACAAAACCGATTCAAAATCTCCCAATTCCATAAACTCTAAATCGCCCACCACCCCAAATCTCTTTCATCGATTGATCGGGTACACAAACTACTTCCATTGTCAATCTTCCATTTTCAATCTTCATTTGGAGAAGAGTGAAAATTTGCATTGTGAATGTTCGTTGTGAATCTTTGTTGAAAAAGAGTGAAAAAACCACATTTGGAGCTGTGGTGATGTCTGGAGGAGAGGCGAAGAAACGAAAGAAGGTGGTTAGCAGGGGGAGTTTTGGGAACGCCAAACTCTTTGTGGATAAAGATGCTAAGAAGAGGTATGATTCATTCATTGTTAAATGACCTCTGTTAATTGAGCATGGTGTTTACCTTGATGAGCTAGTAGGGAGGGTGGATTCTCCTGAAATACTTCGGGCTCAGAAATGGGAACCTTTGTGTGATGTGAATGTGGATGATAAAACATATGTTGAACTGGTTAAGTTTTTTTATGCAAATGTTCATGAGTACAATGAGAATGAGCTGACATTTAAGACACTGGTTAGGAAGAAATTCATCACTGTTTCGCCTGATCTTATTTCAAATATATTAAAAATTGATAGACCAGACATTCCTGAGAATTTCGTTGTCTTTTCATATTCAAGTAAGGAGCAGGCTCCTGAAATGGCGACGGTTATTCAATGTATTTTTATTGGGAGTGTCTCTTAGGAGAATGAGAAAAGCAAAATTTCTTATATTGACCTTATTCCAATGTATAGGATGATAAACCGAATTGTTGCCTGTAATATACATCCGAGGGGGCATACTGCTAAGATTGGATACAATACGGCCCAACTATTATATGCTATTGCAGAACGTGAGGTTATTATTGATCTACCCTTTTACATATTCAACCATGTTCGTGAAGCATCTACTGTTAAGGATGGCAGGCCATGTCTTCCATTTTCAATATTAGTTTTCAAGATTTTGAAGCATAGTGGGGTTGAATTTCAGCAGAATGACAACTTTATTTACCCCATGAATCCAATGAGTATGGGTACACTTAATAAAAATGTGGGAGCTATTCTGGGTGTGAAACGAGGCAAGTATGTGAAGCTGGCAGCAGCGGTGCCTCAGGTTGTGGGTAGTCAAGCTGGGACTAGTCAAGTTGGTTCTGATGCTGGCACTAGTGAGGGTCAACAAGTACTTTAGCAAATGGTTGAAAATTTGGAGGCTCGATTTGAAAAGTTTAAGGATGAAACGAAAGGGTCATTGCAGCGTCTGGAGTCAAAATTAGATTGTTTTTATAAGGACTATAAAGAATACATCAACAAATGACACATTGGTTTTGTGTATTTTGTTTTTGTGAATCTTTTGTTTTATAGTAAAATTTGACATTTTGGCAAGGGTGTTGTAGATGTTGGGTGGATTGTTGTTAAATATATTGGCTAGTAGTTAGAAACGTTGACATGTTGTAGCTGATTTTTTGGCCTCTATTGTTGTTCAGATGGGAGCATCTACTGAGTTATCTTCTCATACCAGTCTGGCAGATTGATTCTTCATCAGGATCACTTTGGACTGGGTACTACAAGGAAAAGGAAACTTGTGGTTTGTGACCAAAGGCAAGGATTTGGATGATGGAGGAGAGGTTAAAATGGTTGATGGAAGATTGGGCAGTTGATCTGATTGGTCTAGTTTGTGTCTGGGGTGATAATGTGTTGAGCATGGGGTCTTGTTTGTGGTTGGAGGATAAGTTGCTTTGAGCCTTTTGAAGGATTAAAGCCAACTTTTGTGATGATTTATATTCTTGCAGACTGTGTGAGCAAGTTTTATGTCTGGGCAGTTGGTGTATAGAGTTGAGTCTTGGTTTTTTATCTGAACTGGATTGCATTGGTCTGTTTATGATGGATTGACTTTGAAGATAGCTACTGGGATGCTGATGTGGTGGGTTGGTCCTAGTCATTATGCTTGGCTGCTAGACTGGTTTGCTGTTTTGCTTTGTTTTAGTAGTTGTCTGCTATTCTGGCAGACTGTTGTTGTGATCTGGGCTGTTACCAAAGGTGCAAGAGCTGAGTTTGGGTACATAGCAAACCAGTTGGGACTGAATGGGTGTTGTACTGGTTTGTTTCTGATCTGGGGATTCTGCATCAGGAACTGTCTGGGAGTTCAGGAGCTGGACTGAAGATTAGCAGACACAATTTTGTAACTTAAAATGGTTTTAATCATCTTGAAGGATTACAACTATTTTTGAAATTTGTAGAACTGTTTGTTCTTTACTTCTTGTAATTACTTCTATGATCATATATTGTCAAGAAAAGTAGTACAAAGCACATGTAGTCGTACTCACCTAAAAAATGTTTAAAGAAGTATTAATCTATTGGCCATGCACAATTGAATCAAAAGCATGGATCTTATTATTATTACTTTTTTTAATCAAAAGGGAATTTTATTTATTCATAATTCAAAATATTGACAAGAAACAAAGGAAAAGGCACAGACGTCCATCCATACCCAGTAAAAGGCAAAACTAACAATGCAAATCATACAATACACAACATCAAACTCCAAAGTTTCAGCAAAAATTCCAATCACAGTCCAAATCCACAAGCACATATCAACAATAAAGAGCTTTTTTTCTTTTCCCCTTGCTTCAAACAAATCAACATTTAATAATCCAAGACAAAAGCTGCAGCAGCAGCTCCTATTACATCTTATCATCGAAGACCACCCTCTTTCTATTTCGCAAAATAGGGAAACTCTGTTGATCAAATAACAGAATGAAGGTAACATCACAAGGCAATCTCAAACCCATCGGAAAATCAACTGAATTCCTACTCTTTACCTCCTGCCCAGCAAGAGTTTCAGCATCACCTGCATTCGCCTCCCGAAAAATATGCACCAAGCTATAATGTAGACCCCTCAAGAAGCCACTGATATGTGTCAAATAGCTCAAACATGTGCACAGAAAGTCAGTAATACCCAGAGCACATTCACCAAAATCCTGATTATTGACATTCAATTTCAAACCTGCAACAAGTCAAACCATATGCCAAAACAAGCTTCAATCCATTGGAAAATGCTCTAAATTATGCAATGATGTTAGAGCACTGCCCATACAAAAAATGAGGCAGCCACAACAATGCCACCCCATTCATTATGCACCACAGCTCCTCCCCCTGCAATCCCTGGGTTTTTCTTGGAAGCCCCGTCTGTATTAAGTTTCAATGATCCAACACATTCGTTCCTCCACTGTACCAATCTACATTTAACTTTCAGCTTATGAGAAAGGTCAATCTGCAAAGCACTCAAGAATTCTTTTCCATTCTCATCATCCAGTGCCCCTCAACAGCTTTTGTGTCTCCCTCACCTACCCATCGCAAATTGGGTTTCTGCCCCCTCATTATATATCTTCACGGCACAATGTTACATCCAGCTCACCCTGTACCCTCTCCAGTATATCACCTGCTGTTAAAAAAAAATTAAAAACGGAAATGAAAACCATGTTGGTAATTTGATGAATTTCCCAAAGTAATTAAAAGGTTATAATGTATGAAACCTGATATCAAAGGACATTGCAATTGTAAGCTGGATTCCATTGGTCGGGTTCTTGAGTTGATGGCATGGGATGTTGGGAGCCACCAAGTTATGAGAAGGGCATGTCATCATGGGGGTCGTCCGCATGGCATGTAAGCTGCGGATACCCACGAATAGTATGTCCAGTGCCATGACATTTACTACATCGTCGTGGAGCTATTGGTAGGTTCTTTCGTACGCGGCTCGGATTGCCTTTGGTTGTCACTGTCTTGGGATCGACGACACCAAATTTCTGTTCAACATTGTGTTATTATGCGTGTCATGTGATGCTGACACCTCTTTTGCTTCGAGTGTATCATGACGTTGTTTCATGCGATTGGTTATTGCAGTTATTGTTGTTCGAAGCTCATGTGCGTCCTCAGGCAATTGTGTACCGTAGTAACACATCCGACTACACATTGACATTAATCCAGCATAGTGACAAGAAATTGATATGGTTGTTGACGTTTCAGGCACAAAGCTCGGTGGGCTAGTTGATTTTGCAGTAATTGTCCATTGTTTTAGAATAGTACAAGGAGGGAACTCTGTTATGTGTTCAATTTTCAAAACTATTATGATGTGTGAGCAAGGAAGTCCAACAGATTGTAATTTCAGGCAATTGCATTTGATGGTGTGAGTCTGATATTCATATATCACATTCCAACTGGATGTTGGTTTTGTGTACTTCGACAAATAATAACTTGAATGAGTATTGTGCTCAATTTTTTGGACCACGAAGAAGAGTCCTTCGGCCTTTATATGATCCCGCACTTTAAAAAAAATTGACCTGGTGTACAGTGAGGCAGCGTGCTGCTCTAAGCAACGTAGTGTAGTGGTCATCAATGGGGTACTGTTTTCAGAATAATGATTGTCATAGGCTTCGGTCTCTCGGATTCTTGATACACCCCTATCATACTGTCTAACAAATTCATACAAACGAAGCCTTGTTTTCAGGAAACGATTCAAGTAACCATTCAATCTTTCTGAGCATTGTGGGCTTTTGATGCCGGCAAAGAAATGACCCCGTAAGAATGCTTCAGCCCATTTCCAACGCTTTGTGTACACATCTGATATCTAGTTGTTATCCTCCAGCCCAAATGAATGTACCATTGATTCCCACAAAACGTCAAATTCCTCAGGTGTAAATCGGGAGCACATACATTTCTTGAACTCGCGAAGAAAATTCTCAGCATGAATATTTTGAAGCGCATTCCTCTCCAAATGCCAGCTGCATAGCCTGTGTTTTGCGTGTGAAAATATTCTTTTGATTGCGGTGGCCATGGCCTTGTCCCCATCGGTGACAACTGATATAGGTTTTTTATTATCCATTGCATCCATAAATGTCTCCAAAACCCACACATATGTGTCCACAGTCTCATAAGAAAGTAATGCACATCCAAAAATGCAAGTAGTGTTGTGGTTGTTTACACCTGCAAGTATTACAAATGACTTTTTGTACGCATTGGTGCGGTATGTTGTATCGAATACCAAAACATCACCGAAACATGAATAGTCAACACGGGAAATTGAATCCGCCCAAAAGAGGCAATTCAATGGATTATCATCTTCAACGCTGTACTTGAAATAAAATAATGGGTCAAACTCCTCTTTCGCGCTCAAGTATGCTAGTGCACCCTCAGCATCCCCATCGATAATTTCCTCTCTTCTTTGGCTGGCAACAACGTTGTACAAATCCTTTCGCGTAAAGCCAACATTGGAATAGCCGCCAGCTTGATGCAACATAAAATCTCGTATTTGGCTAGTGCGTATTCCAACATTGTGAAACGTTGTTGCTTGCTCTATGTCTGGGCTTTTAACATGTCGGTGGGACCGAAGGAACAACACTCCACGCGGTGGAACCAACGGATGATTATGATCATTCACAAACTCCTTCACTACCCATTTTTTCGACTTTCTGTCATATTTAATGCGAAAAACTGCCAAACAACCAACTCGAGTTATTCCCCTTGGTTCTCGTGCCTTGTCATCCTGGTCTAAGTATTTGGTAGCTCGAAACTCTTGTCGCGAACATACCCATTTCCTAGACACCGGGACGTGGTGTTTGTCATATTTTAAGTCATTTTTCCTGATGCTGAAACCTACAAACTTAGCGTATGTGTTATAAAAATTACCCGCTTCAACTTCCGAGTTAAACTTCATGTGACTGACTTCTTCAGTCGATAAGTCTTGTAAACTTTTTTCCAATTCGTCAGCTTTTGAGTTACCCTGACGATGCTCATATTCACCATTAAATGTGCCAAATTCAAATATATCACTATCTTTAGGTGCTTCATTCAAGTCTATAACGACATGATTTCCCTTTTCAACAGTTGTGTGACCCATTTTATGCGTCAAACCTAAAATACAATTTTTTTTAAAAAAAATATTAATAATCTTTTCCAAAAAATTGAAAATTATGGGTAACAATAATGAGAAAAAAATTGCAAAATTGACATATATTTATTAAAATAAGTGAATTACTGTAATGAACACTTAATCAAACATTATTCTAATGTATTAAAAATAAATGGCATTCATAATAGTTGGTATCATGTATTACATACCTGTGGAATTTCCTCTCCTCTCATGCAGATGTAGAAATGTATGGTTCCAAGCATGTGTTGTTGGAGTATGTTGTCTTGTTGTTAGAGTAGGTTCATGGCAAAATACAAAATATTAGAGGTTTAACTGATAATTGCAAGTAGGTGAGGGTGAATAAATTCAGGGTGGTATGTGGTTGGTAGTTGTTAATGGTATGTAATAAATTACAATGGTAATTACAATCAATTTTGCTTGGCTTTTCATAAATATTCTACACTATTTTACTACAATTGAGCCGATAAATACACTCATAACAGTTGTAAGTCCTATGGGTGTACGTAAGTACAATGTATATTTAATATTTTTTGTTTTTTTGGGATTAAAAAAAAATTTGGATAACAAATTTCAATTGTAATTATGTAGATATTATTATATTAATTTAAAAATATGGGTAGGCTCATATTAAAAGGGTTGACAGGAATAATGCGATTATTTATTTTCGATTGTTGTCGTTTAATCGGGTCGTACATGTGTTGCAGATCCTTGTAAGTCCGTTAACAAATAAAAATTATATATATAACCTTTGGATTCGATTAGTTATTATTTTTAAATTTTTTTGTTATTAATATATTATTTTTAATAAATACCAATTATTATTTGATTTGGATGATTTAAATTACGTGTTAAGTTAGTTGGAATATAGTAATTTTGTATTTACTTGTTGAAAATTGATAAAAACATAAAATTATCTTCTCTCAATTTATAACCCCATTTTTGTTTATTTGAACAAACAAAACACCCAAAATAATGTCATATTCAAAATTCAAAAAAAAAAAAAAACAACAAAATCGCCCATTTGCCCGCCCAAATCTCCCATCGTTTAACCTCCCTTTTTTCTCTCTTACTCTCTCTCTCTCTCTCTTACCACGACATTTTCAAAACCCCTGCATTTTTCTTTGATCTCTCTTCCCTCTCCCCTCTCACTCTGCATCGCAGTTCGATGGGTTTGTGGCCCATTCTGCCAACAACAATCTTCGACCTTCTCTCTCATCGTCGATTATTGTTAGATCCAACACCACAAGTCTCCCAGCTAAGTGTCCAACTTCTCTCCTTATCTCTCACACACGCACGCAACCCCTCTCCATCTTCCTCGTCTGCCTAACCCACTCACAAACAATACCCACAACTCACAACACACATATACTGTCGCAGTACCACCCCCTCCATGTTCTCCGTCTGCGCAACCGACCCCCCAAACAATACCCACACAACAAAACACACACACACACACACACACACACACACACACACACTCTCTGTTGACGAACAACCACTCGCTTAACACAGCCACACACTTTTGAATTTTGAGAAGTCAGTTTGATAAATGTTTAATTTGATGCAAATTTTACAATTACTTTAGGTGAACTTAGTTTGATTAGATGTAATTTTAAGTTGATTTGATAAGGTTCGAATTTTTTAAGTACTTTATGTTTTATTTTGGTTCAAACTTTGTAGTTATATTAGATTAGATTCAAAAGTTTTTATGGTACGAATTAGTGCATTTAACAAAGACAGTAATGACAATGGAGCAATTACATTAGTGAATTTAACAAAGAGAGTATGATTACATTTGTGTTGCCCGTAATTCCTGATTATTGCATTGAATGGATGTTAATTTGGGTAGGCATACACTGGATGTTCATTACTACACTGAACTTTAGGGCTCATATACCACTTTCTGCGATATCCTGTGATTGTTTGCTTGTTGTGTCCAATCCATTTATAAACAAATCTAATCCAATAAATGATGTTTTTTAGGTACTGGTGATTCATATTGCAAGGCAGGTTGTCGATAAGCAGTTATAGTCAACTCTTAATCAAACACAATGTACAGGGTAAAGAGAAAATGGTGTTACATAATTTTATATGTAATATTTTCAAAGTTGTTATTAAATGACAACAAAATTGCAACAAGGTAAAGAGAAAACAAGTGGTTGCTGCTTCCACGGCTGGGAAGAGACAAAGACGAAGGCGGTCGAATAGTATAGGTCAGACATCTGCACAAGTATGCTATACATTGTTACATTAAGTTGTATAGACCATTATGCATATAAATAATTAGTTTGTTAAATTTGAAATTTATCGTTCCTTATTATTTGTTCCATTACTTAATGCGTACAAGGTTATGTGGCAACAAGATGTTCACCTAAAAGACTAATAAAATTCGTGAAAATTTTAAATGTTGCACAAAAACAAGCCATCAGCGAAATTGGCTTGGTCAGATTGCTAAGCATACAATGCACATATATAAGGCATGATTTGTGTGCATGGTTGGCAGGACGATTTGATCCCCAGAGGTGTGCGTTCAACCTATATGGGAAATGGGTGAAGTTCAGCCCCCAAGATGTCACCCACATACGAGGTGTGCACTTTTCTGGTACAAATGTGGTGACAACGGGTGCAAAGGAAATCATTAACAATCTTTATATGTCTTTATTTAACGGACAACCAGAGGTACCATTGAAACATTTGTCAGAGCGCATTAGGTCAATCACAGATGCCTTTGACATTTTTTTATGGCTGTCTGTTTTATATATTATTGCTTGTATGTTTCGTCTTTCAATGCGAACTATGTTAAGTGTTGGTGCACTACACTCTGTTGTTGACGTCCCTGCATTACGACATACTAACTGGTGCAAGTTTGTATTTGATGGAGTTGTCAAAGGAATTCAGAAATTTCAATCTTCCGAACAGGGATCATTGGGTGGCTGTCTTGTAGTTTTGATGGTAATTTACATAAACTTTGAGCAATTTTGGTAATGTGTATGTTGTATACAATGGGTAAATAGTTTCTTATGGTTTTCATTTCTATTTGCTAAGTAGGTATTCTATCTTGAACAAGTTACACCGAGAGGTCAAACCATCATACCTTTGGTTTTTTGTGAGACCCCACGAATTGGAGATTGGGGTGACAATGATGTAAGTAAAAGAATGAATGATATCTTCAAGTTAGGAGGGTTCAATATGGACGAGGTATAGATTTTATTAATTTTATTTTATTTCATTTGTAAAGTTGTATGATATTGTCTTACATAGTGTTTGATGCGCATATTCCATTCGTTTTATGTATGTAGTTGGATGTTTTTGTTAAGGAGGAGATAATTGATGATGCGCTTGATACCGCATCCCAGCAAGCAGTGTCGGACGTATGTACATATACCATGTATAATGTTTATTGTTCCCAAAAATGCCTATTATAAAATCATGGGGAATACATTTATGAGTCATTTATGTTACATTTTAATTTTATTTTTTGTACATATTTTTATGCAACTAATTGACTGTACTGTGATTTATTATGTAAATTGGTTGGTAGGATTTGCGGGTAAGAATTGGACGACTTGAGGTTGTTGCTGATCGCATTGAAAAAAAATTGGTACTTTTGCATCACAATGCAAAACTTCATTTTCTGTTATGGAGAAACGACTGGGAGAGATTGGACATATTCTATCCCAATTTGTTAATAAATCGGCGTCTCTAAAGGATGTCCCGCATGACATGGGAGGAAACAAAGGAGATGATGAAATTGATCTGACGAAGGTGTGTATTTTATCCGTTGTACTGCTGAAACATTAAATGTGTTGTTCAATGTAATACGACATCTCTTACCGATGACTTGTTCACGTGAACTACCAAATGCGAACTTTATATTGTAGGTTGACTTGGATGATCCACAAGATACAGAGGGACACAAAGCAGAGGAAGTATAATTTTATGATTTTTGTATTAAACATTCAACATGCCTTTTCAGGTGAGTCGCACTTTGAACCCCTTATATCATGTCATTGCGTTGTAGATGGCAGATATGGTGTTTCCCCAAATAACCCATATCGATGATGATGTGGAGCGCGCAATCTACCTTTACATATTTGATCTAAACTTGGCATCTGACTATGTGCTTTTGTTCTAATGTATTTGATGCAATATCATATGCTTAAAAACTAGTAATTCTATCATTTTCCAATGAAACGGCGCATAAATTGATAAATTGTTTTTTTAATTTTTGTCAGTGAGATTCTTGTATCAGTTGGTGATCATGAGCCAGGCACGAGGGGAGTGTTAGAGACCCTTGCCCCATTACAATGGCTTAGTGGAATTGTTTGTGCATGTTATGTTTGTTTATTTGTTTGTTGTTATGTTATGAGAATGAAACTAAAATTTTGTGTGACATATTAATTAGGTCATTGATATGTGTGCATGTATCGCTCCACAGATGGGACGATGGTACTTACCTACCATCTTCTTTGTAAGTATTTGTTGTCATTTCGTATTATTGGAAATTGCATTAAAAGGGAAAACACAAATAGTTTGGACATGTAATGACAATCAAATTAATTGGTGTGTTCGTGCATTTATGCAGCAAAAAGCCATGGCAAGCACCATCACTCGTCGTCAGAGTGGAAGTGTAACTAAAAAACAACAGAAGTTTAGTCGTCTCCCTCTCCCTGATTTTACAACAACTACAAAGGTAGTGTATATTGTAAAATTCAATTTATAATTATTTTTAAGTTAATACACGCTGCATATCATATGACGTCCCTAGTTTTAGGAATACTTGTTTGTTTGTATGTAGATTTATGTGCCAATGAACGATGACAAATCGCATTGGTATCTACTTTTGGTGGATATAGAGGAGCAACAAACCTTCCTACTCGATCCACTACCAAGTCCAAAAAGAAACAATATTCACCTCACAAATGCGAAAAGAGTTGTAAGATACTTGTTGTTTTCATTTACCAACAGATACCTGTTCACAATTTTTTTTTCACCAGGCATTACATTACAACCTTGTTTTGTAGATTGATGTATTAGGCGACATTCTTGCCACTAGGGCTCCGGATTTTGAACACAAATTGGGGAATTGGAAGCTCGTTAAACCAGCTTGGATGCCTAAACAAGCCAATGATTTTGATTGTGGAATTTTCATTGTGAAGATGCTACAATCAGCACATTTGGGCAAAGGTTTTACAGTAAAGGTGAAAAACAATAAACAATATGTGCAGACACTTTTTAAGTGCTTTAATAAAACTACTTCCAATAATTTTTAATTCTAATGGTTCACACTTGGTAAATACAGGATAAGAGTGCTGATATGCGAAGGAAGGAGGCTATTACCTTGGTCACCGCTGAGGAGAACAATTTGAGAGATAGAATAATACATATGGCACTACACACACCTTGACGTGTGTTTTGGTAAAATATGGATTCGAGGAAGACACCTGTATTAGATGGTGGTGGAGCAACTGTTTACATTCATTATTTTGGTTCAGCTTTATAGTTACCTTATTAGATAGATGTATATACAGTTCTGCATAACTCAAATGTTGAATAGAAGTTCTTACGGTGGATATGTATATAGGCAGCTACATACAAACAAATCAATTGCAGATGATTTGTCGTTGCACTAGCAAAAATGTTTAACCGTTTCACAACGTGTTCATACGAACATTAGTTATGCTTACAACGCAGCAACTGCATGAGTCATGTTATGAAAGCATGTGATTGTTTGTTTTGCTCAATAGCTCATGCTTTACTTGCTGCAATCATGCCTGATGTCCATGGGTTTTAGTGGTGCTGATGTATGTTTTTTGGCTTGGTTGTGTACAGGGCAAAACTAAAGGAAGCTGTTTTAATGCTGTGTCCGACCAATTCTACCACCAGATTGAGTTTGGTAAAGTGTATATGATCTCCACTGGGACCTTGAAACCTGCACAGATATAGGCTTTCAACCACCTTTGTAATTATCATGAAATTTTCATGTAAAGTACATCAACAGTGGAGGCTTGATCTGAGGATGATTGGAGATCGGAAGTGCAAGAAAAAGGTTACAAGTAATGGAGCTTTTAAGTGGTGATGTGATATGTGTGAACAGACCTATCATTAATGTCATTATAGGTATAATCTCCAGTTCCACAAATAGGATCACACTGACTTCAACTGGGTAAATGCATTCCAGGAATCTGGAGAGGAGATCATGGGTATATCTGCGAAAGATTTGTATTGCTTGAAATATGAAGAAGAAGATGAATAGTTCTATTACCATGTATATAAGCTTTAACAGTTGCGGTGGTTCTGGCGATAGCTCTACGCATTGCCCGAGTGTTATGAATGGTGAGGGATAGTCATATGGAGGTAGCTTTAGCAATAGGGTGTCCTTGGGGGGGGGGGACATGGTAATGGTGATGCATCTGGTGAGTAGTTCAACTCCAATCAATTTAGGCATTGGGCGAGATATTGACCTGGTAGCTTATGGAAATCGCAATGTCACACCTGGAAGATATGGTGGTGTTTCAAAACAACGAGTTAATGGTTTCTTAGCCAAGTTGCAGGGAAAGTGAATTTTTGTGAACAGTGTTATTAGTAGGTTTTGTGACCCATATTCTGACTACTTTGTCGGTTCCTAGAAATTATTTGTCAATTATTTTTGGGCGTCATTTCAGTTTCCACTTTCTCATAAACTTATGATTCATTTAATGTTTAGATATTTTTATTTTTTTTGGGGTATCCTTGCTGATTTTTTTGGGCCCTTTGGAAATAAATGTGTAGGAGAATATATGAAGAAGTGAGGGGATGCTTAAGTGTTGTGGAGGTTGAAAGGAGTTATGGATGAGATTGGGGAGTTTCTTAGTAATTTGCAGTTTCAGTGTAGACATGTGTACAGGGAGGGTAATGGTGTAGCTGATTTTTTTGCCTTATTTGGCAGTTAAGTCTGGTTTCTTTGAGGGTGTTATTCCAACTGATGGTATTCTGCCATTGGCTGCAAGTATGCTTTTGCAGCAACAAAAAACTCAGGCCTACTATAAGAACAAGGAGATTTCTGTTAAATGGCCAGCAGATTTTTTCTGTGGATTCAACAGCTGGTTAGAGGTCTTGATTGTGGAAGTGCTTTTGCCTTGAGGTTATTTTGGGCTGACGTCCTCTACTGAGTCAGGTAGGAGCTGATCTGTAGAGGGGTTTTGGTGTGCCGATTTCTGGATTCCAGTACTGGCAGTCTATTTCTGCATCAAAAGTTGTATCAATGTATGGTGTACAGAAGGAGGGTGCTGGTATGCTGATGACCTGGAGTGCAGCAACTGTACAGGAATTGTTTTAGCTGTTGTAATTGTAACAGTTTGATTGTTTTGGTGAAGTTGTAACTGTTTTTTGTTGTAACAGTTACTAATTTTTTTATTCTTGTAATTTTGGAGTTTATTCAATAAAATTATTTCTTTTTTTTTAAAAACAAGGTCATTTCTTTTTCCTTTGTTATACCCTTCTGGTACTCCCAACAGGAGGAAGGGTGGGAGTTGGTTCATATTTGGATATGATTTTCCTTTCTAAACCCTGAATGCTTTATAACAGATAGAATAAGGGAGGATTCATTCGAGTGGGTTGGACATATATATAGACGATGTATTATGACAATGGTAAGCTACATCAATATGACAAAATTCATGTGCCACACATGGCTGGTGATATTCTGGAACTCAATGCAATGCCCGATTCTTATTTTTGGGTTGACCAAAATGTTTGGTGTAGTGATGGCTTGGTTAAACTCATTGCTATGTGTATGTTCATGAAACAGTGTACATTCCACTTCACATGTCCACATTTTTTTCCAATATGTAAATACCGCCTACATAAGAAAATTTCATTCACCAATCAAGATTGTATTCCAATAATACATCCTGCCTTACAACGCACATTTTAGCTCTCAAGTAATTTGATTGTAATCTAATATTTAAATCCTGCCTAACAAAGCACATTCCGCCTCTCAAGCAACGTTGTATTCCTATATACACATAACGCATACCAACTCACATTTCATTCACAGTGTATCTTTCTATTCCACAACATACATATAGCCTACATTCTCACATTCATTGTAACATACTTCTACATTTCCCCATTTCTATCCGTCGTTCTCGAGCCTTGTGTATGATTTTGTTCTGAACTTTATTGTCAACATGAGTAGCTAATGAAAATGCAAAGTTCATCCTCATTTCATTAGAATCTTCCTGCGATCAAATGAAAATAAGGGATATTAACAAACTATCAAATCAAACAATCGCGACATGTCGTAGGTTGCATGGTATAGAGTTCACTGTAATACTAAAGCCTGGAGAAAGCACCGGAGACAGGATCATCTTGACAACAAACATTCTACAATCATATCCATTCCGCTGATGTGGGGCCCAAGACGGGCTCGACAAAGTGAATGTTCCCAAAAAAGGTTGGTAGTTATCCTGTGTAGCTTCAAGGACATCATCTAATTCAAATAGCACATTATGCACAACATTCAGCCAAATAGATATATCGTCACAAGGAAGGGGGTCCAACAAAAGAGCTTTATGTTCAGTTACGTCAATGACGCATAGATACCAATGAGAGTTTTTCTCGTTCATCGGGATGTATATCTAAATTTGTTTACACAGACAAACCATGATGATAAGCATGAATCAAAATAACTAATGTTAGATCGTTCAAATCAAAAACGTATTAACTATATGGTTAATACACACCTTTTCACAGTATGTAAAATCTTTTATGTACTTCCCACTCACAGCACACATAGAATGCGACAATGTTTTTTTCATTTCACTGTTACCCACAACCCGACATAGTGCCTGTTGCTGAATACAACAAACAAAATTATAATCAACAAATTGTATGTAATTTTTTTAAAATTAAAATAAGGTTCTACAAATAAACATATTTTTATTACCGAGAACCATGTGGGTAGGTACCACCTCTCTAATCCGGTTTTTGGATTGATCTTATCTTCCTTAGCTAACAAATTGTGGGCCAAGTCCACAACCTGTTACGGTCATAGGAAAATACCAAAGTAAAATTCAATTGGTTTTCGTTATTGTAATTAAAAAAAGAAAAATATATTGGTTGAAAAACACCAAATTTACCAACCGAATCAAGTAACCACTACTTTGGTAATAATGTCATGAGGGAAAGACGTCCAACATGGTCATGTTCAAACCTAATTAAAGCCTCTCTGTTTTAAAAAAAAAAATTAAAAGTATTAAAAAAAAATATCCATCATACTACTATTTTCAATCACATATTAATACATATTTTAAAATGTATCAATGTTTACATTTAAAATAAATATACCTCTTTTCAAGATTCTTGTCAAATATGTAATTCAAAATCAATTGCTTATCTTCAAGATAAAGTATGTCTACATTTTCATATTCCTCAACGTGCTCTGGAATATCCAAAGTAGAATTCGAAATCTGTGTACGAAATGTGACATTAAACTACCATTCAAGTTTGTCACATAATCAACAATGGAAAAAATCAGACCTTAAGAATTTCAACAACTGATGCACTATTACAAGACAATTTCAGTTTGTTACCAGGATTGTGCGAAGTCTTGTACACATCGAGTGATGCCTTGTTGTCATAACAATTCATGTCATAACCGCCCTGTGCACAGAGAAATTGAACATACAACTATAAAAAAAATTGGATAATAATAAACGGTGTCATAACCTTATGCATTACCACTATATGCATGGAATTGTCCAAGCTTGGTTGAATGTGATCCGGGGTATTATTCACCTCCCCTTTGCCCTCTTTCTTATCATCCTTCTTCACCCAACGATGTTGTAGTTGAAGGGAGTAAAGTATAAGTGACGATAATGTATAATGTAATTAATACATTAAGTTTGATGTATTTTATACCTTTGACTGTTCATATGGTGAAATCACATATTTGCTTGGCCTCCTTTTAGAATCTCTTCTTTGCTGCATTGGTGGGAATGACGTTTGAGTGCATGAGTAAGAAGCCTCTTGCATGTCACCAACGTTATTATGTTTGTACTCGTCATTGCTAGTATTCAATGGACGTCGCCATGCCTCTTGGAATGGTTTTGGTGGTGGGGTGCGGACAACGACAATGGGTGTCCAAATCCGGTAGTCCACATCCACTTCATGGAGTTGGCATTTACATTTTCATTCAAGTCAATTTTATTTTTTCCTCAACAACTACTCCAACAGTAGCATCATTGTCCATCTATTGGTAATTTGATATTTTAGGAAACGATCCACCCATGAACATTTGCATCATGCTAACCATTGAGCCCACCATGCCAGTTAGATTAACAATTGCATTCTCCATCCTACACATTCTGGCCTCCCATTCCTGCACATTTAGGCAATTCATAACGTGGCAAAAACAATTATACATCAATGTGATATCAGTATCATGGGATATATGTACCGGTGATTTTTCATCTGATGTCAAACTAGTTTGCTTCACCTNGATTTTAGTATCATGGTATATTTATACCGGTGGTTTTTCATCTGATTTCAAAATAGTTTGCTTCACTTCATGGGGGGATCGTTTACTAAAGTTTACTGTATCGACAGGTGGGGGTCTATTCATGGTGTCGTCAAACAATTTGCAAGTAACTTCTTGACGCCCTAGTCGTTTGGACTTATTCAACATGCTTACATGTTTCTTAATTTCCTCATCCCCCCACACAGCAATTCGAGGGTTGCTTCTACAAGGCGGTTGTTTAACAAACACCCCTTTGGGTGTGACCCGCTCTAGATATACTATCTACATTAAATAATTAAAATAGGTAATTCAGTAAAAGTGTTGTGAAAGAAGCACAACATAAAAATACTAAAAAAATAAATTCATGCCTAACCATAAGAACAAGTAAACATCCACTAACATTTTTCTGATCATGTGTTTGATATTTTCGTACCCCTTCAACCATACCATTAAATTCAAATTTCGCCCAATTTCTCTTCCCTATACAAGGAACGTCTACAACAGTGTGAAGATACCCGCTACTGATTGAAGTACACATGGTTGGGTATAGAAGATGTCTAATAAGAAATAGCACAAAATATATTCTAAACTCATCTGAAGCCACTTGAAGTGCACAAAGTCTCTCATTCACTTGTCTCAACGGGATATCCTTAACTCCATTGAACAATGAATTCCAAATGTCATTAATTCTTTCACTGGGCCCAGTAGTCTCCACGTCCAACCCTTCATTTCTCAAGCCCATGACACATTCTACGTCCATGGCTGATAACTAAATAGCTTCACCGTAGACATTTAATGTCAATGACAAAGTGTCGAACCATTCAATCAACCATGCACATAAACCCTGCTTCAGTTCACCACATCTGAGGCTCAATATCCTCTTAAATCCAAGTTCTTTTATTGCAACTTTCTGCTCATCACCTAAATTTCGTATCATTTTTACAATTTTCCCAGGCGAACACCTTGTACCAAGCGTCCCCTTTGATAATTCGTCAAAACATAGACAGAAATCTCAATTGCAGAGGTGCAGTAAATGTAAACCATGCACATAAAAAGTAACATCAACATTATATTTTTACTCGGACTGTCATTTCCCCAGAATTATCTTTCACACGATCATATTCACTCTTTGCATGTTTAGACATTTATCTGTATTTATGTTTCTCACTATCTGCCATCTTCCTCCATTGGTCAGCCACTTGTTTAATTACCTTATGAGTACAAGTTCAATTGGAAGACATTATTAATTTCACTATTACAAACAATACTAGCTATTTGTAACACAAATTATACCTCACGTGTTACTTTTTTATCAGTGTTTCCTTTGATATTCTCCATTTGTTCCTTACTGTAATGCAAGTACAACAAATTGGCACATTATCACAGTAACATTAACCACAAAATAATTTCACACTACACTACACTAAGTATTCATACTAGAAAAATATTCATGCACTCAGTGGACGTTGGGCTTTCAAGCCTTCGGCCTTTGACTCCTGGGACCTCTTCTTTCCCCTGGAATATGTACCATATTATGAAGTCTACAATGTGATGAATCTGAAATATATTCAACAATATAATCATATCTTACATTACAAATATCGCCAAATTGGACTTCCCA